CCCATAAAAATTCCCATAAAAATCCCAAAAAATTCCCATAAAATTCCCCACAAAAATCACAAAAATTCCTGTAAAATTCCCCATAAAAATCCCGCAAAAATTCCCAAAAAATTCCCATAAAAATCCCAATAAAATCCCCAATAAATCCCGGTGCTGACCTTGCTGTGGCCGTGCTGCAGGAGGCGCTGCAGCAGCTCCGGGGGTGCCACTGCCGGCCATTGAAAATTCAATAACGATTTTTTAAACAATTCCCAAAAAAATTCCCATAAAAAAACCCAATAAATTACCATAAAAATCCCAAAAAAATCCCCAAAAATTCCCATCAAATTCCCCAATAAATTCCCTCAAAATTCCCATAAAAATCCCCAAAAAATCCCAATAAATTACCTCAAAATTTCCATAAAAATAAAAAAAAATCCCATAAAATTACCTCAAAATTCCCATAAAAACATCCCAAAAATTCCCCATAAAAATTCAAAACATCCCATAAAAATCTCCAAAAAATTCCCAATAAATTAACCAAAAAATCCAAAAAATCCCCCAAAAATCCCCCAAAAAATCAAAAAAAAAATCCGAAAAAAATCCCAAAAAATTCCCATAAAATTCCCAATAAATTACCTCAAAATTCCCATTAAAAATCCCAAAAATCCCCAAAAAATTCCCATAAAATCCCCAATAAATCCCGGTGCTGACCTTGCTGTGGCCGTGCTGCAGGAGGCGCTGCAGCAGCTCTGGGGGTGCCACCGCCGGTCATTGAAAATTCAATAACGATTTTTTAAACAATTCCCATTAAAAATCTCAAAAAAAATTCCCATAAAATGTTCAAACAATTCCCAATAAATTCCCCAAAAACTGCCAAAAAATCGCCAAAAAAATCGCCAAAAAATCCCAAAAAATCCCAATAAATTACCTCAAAATTCCCACAAAAATCCCCCAAAAATTCCCAATAAATTAACCAAAAAATCCCCAAAAATCCCCCAAAAAATCCCCAATAAATTCCCCAAAAAATCCCAAAAAATCCCCAAAAATTCCCAAAAATTCCTGATGAATTCCCGGTGCTGCCCTTGCTGTGGCCGTGCTGCAGGAGGCGCTGCAGCAGCTCTGGGGGTGCCACTGCCGGCCATTGAAAATTCAATAACGATTTTTTAAACAATTCCCAAAAAAATCCCCAAAAAAATTCCCATTAAAAATTCCAAAAATTGCCAAAAAAATCCCCAAAAATTCCCCAAAAAATCAGAAAAAATCCCCAAAAAATTCCCCAAAAAATCAGAAAAAAGTCCAAAAAAATTCCCAATAAATTCCCAATAAATTCCCCAAAAAATCGCCAAAAAATTGCCAAAAAAATCCAAAAAAATCCCAATAAATTACCACAAAATTCCCATAAAAAATCCCCAATAAATTACCTCAAAATTCCCATAAAAATCAAAAAAAAAAATCCCATAAAATTCCCAATAAATTACCTCAAAATTCCCCAAAAAAATCCCAAAAAAATCCCCAACATTCCCATAAAATTCCCCATAAAAATCCCAAAAATTGCCATGAAATTCCACATAAAAATCCCAAAAAAATCCCATAAAAATCCCCAAAAATCCCATGAAATTCCACATAAAAATCCCATAAAAATCCCAATAAAATCCCAATAAATTCCCATAAAATTCCCGATCAATCCCCGGTGCTGCCCTTGCTGTGGCCGTGCTGCAGGAGGCGCTGCAGCAGCTTCATGGGGGCTGCCACCGGTCATTGAAAATTCAGTAACGATTTTTCAAAAATTTCCCAAAAAATCCCCAAAAAATTCCCATTAAAAATCCCCAAAAATTCCCCAAAAAATCAGAAAAAAGTCCAAAAAAATTCCCAATAAATTCCCCAAAAAATTCCCGTAAAAATCTGAAAAAAATCCCATAAAATTCCCAATAAATTACCTCAAAATTCCCATAAAAATCCGAAAAAAATCCAAAAAATTCCCAATAAATTACCTCAAAATTCCCATTAAAATCCCCATAAAATTCCCCATAAAAATCCCAAAAATTCCCAAAAAAAACCCCAAAAATCCCCATAAATCCTCGCTCCTGCCCTTGCTGTGGCTGTGCTGCAGGAGGCGCTGCAGCAGCTCCACGGGCACTGCCAGTCATTGAAAATTCAGTAACAATTTTTTTTAAAAATCCAAAAAAATTCCCATAAAAATCCCAATAAATTACCCAAAAATTCCCCAAAAAAATCCCATAAAATTCCCTCAAAATTCCCATAAAAAAAATCCCAAAAAATTCCAAAAATTCCCATAAAATTCCCCATAAAAATCACACAAAAATTGCAGAATTCCCCATAAAATTCCCCATAAAAATCCCCCAAAAATCCCCAATAAATTACCTCAAAATTCCCATTAAAAATCCCCAAAAAATCCCAAAAAATTCCCATAAAAATCCCCAAAAATTCCCAAAAAAAATCCCAAAAAATTCCCATAAAAATCCCCAAAAAATCCCCAATAAATTCCCATAAAAATCCCCAAAAATTCCCCAAAAAATCAGAAAAAAGTCCAAAAAAATTCCCAATAAATTCCAATAAATTCCCCAAAAATCGCCAAAAAATTGCCAAAAAAATCCAAAAAAATCCCAATAAATTACCACAAAATTCCCATAAAAAATCCCCAATAAATTACCTCAAAATTCCCATAAAAATTCCCAATAAAATCCAAAAAAATCCCATAAAAGTCCCCAAAAAATCCCATAAAAATCCCCAAAAAATCCCAAAAACTCCCATAAAATTCCCCACAAAAATCACAAAAATTCCTGTAAAATTCCCCATAAAAATCCCGCAAAAATTCCCATGAAATCCCCAATAAATCCCAAAAAATCCCCAATAAATCCCCGCTGCTGCCCTTGCTGTGGCCGTGCTGCCGGTCATTGAAAATTCAATAACGATTTTTTTAAAAATCCCAAAAAAATTCCCATAAAAAAACCCAATAAATTACCATAAAAATCCCAACAAAATCCCCAAAAATTCCCATCAAATTCCCCAATAAATTCCCTCAAAATTCCCATAAAAATCCCAATAAATTACCTCAAAATTTCCATAAAAATAAAAAAAAATCCCATAAAATTACCTCAAAATTCCCATAAAAACATCTCAAAAATTCCCCATAAAAATCCAAAACATCCCATAAAAATCTCCAAAAAATTCCCAATAAATTAACCAAAAACTCCAAAAAATTCCCCAAAAATTCCCCAAAAAATAAAAAAAAAATCCGAAAAAAATCCCAAAAATTCCCTCAAAATTCCCAATAAAAATCCCAAAAAATTCCCCATAATTCCACATAAAAATCCCAAAAAAATCCCACAAAAATCCCAAAAAAATCCAAATAAATTTCCATAAAATTCCCATAAAAATCCCTGGTGCTGCCCTTGCTGTGGCCGTGCTGCAGGAGGCGCTGCAGCAGCTCTGGGGGTGCCATCGCCGGTCATTGAAAATTCAATAACGATTTTTAAAAAATTCCCTCAAATTTCCCCCCAAAAAATCAGAAAAAAATCAGAAAAAAATCCGAAAAAATTCCCAAACAATTCCCAATAAATTCCCAGGAAGTTCCGAATAAATTCCCATAAAAATTCCAAAAAAATCCCCATAAAATTTCCAAACAATTCCCAATAAATTCCCCAAAAACTTCCCATTAAAAATCCCAAAAATTGCCAGAAAATCCCCAAAAAATCCCCAAAAATTCCCATAAAATTCCCAATAAATTACCTCAAAATTCCCAAAAAAAACCCCAAAAATCCCCATAAATCCTCGCTCCTGCCCTTGCTGTGGCCGTGCTGCAGGAGGTGCTGCAGCAGCTCCACGGGCACTGCCAGTCATTGAAAATTCAATAACAATTTTTTTAAAAATCCCAAAAAATTCCCATAAAATCCCCAAAAAATTCCCATAAAAATCCCAATAAATTACCTCAAAATTCCCATAAAAAATCCCAAAAATTCCCATAAAAATCCCCATAAAAATTCCACAAAAATCGCAAAAATTCCCCATAAAATTCCCCATAAAAATCCCCCAAAAATCCCCATAAAATTCCCAATAAATTACCTCAAAATTGCCAATAAATTCCCCAAAAAAATTCCCCCAAAAAAATTCCCAATAAATTCCCCAAAAAAATCCGAAAAAAAATCCGAAAAAATGCCCAGGAAATTCCCAAAAAATGCCCATAAAATTCCCAATAAATTACCTCAAAATTCCCATAAAAATCCCAAAAATTCCCCAAAAAAAACCCATAAAAATCCCAAAAAATTCCCTATAAATTACCTCAAAATTCCCATAAAAATTCCCCATGAAAATCCCCAAAAAAATCACCTCAAAGTTCCCATAAAAAATCCCATAAAAAAATCCCAAAAAAATCCCAATAAATTACCTCAAAATTCCCATTAAAAATCCCAAAAATTCGCCTTAAAATTCCCATAAAAATCCCCATAAATCCCGGTGCTGACCTTGCTGTGGCCGTGCTGCAGGAGGCGCTGCAGCAGCTCCGGGGGTGCCACTGCCGGCCATTGAAAATTCAATAACGATTTTTTAAACAATTCCCAAAAAAATTCCCATAAAAAAACCCAATAAATTACCATAAAAATCCCAAAAAAATCCCCAAAAATTCCCATCAAATTCCCCAATAAATTCCCTCAAAATTCCCATAAAAATCCCCAAAAAATCCCAATAAATTACCTCAAAATTTCCATAAAAATAAAAAAAAATCCCATAAAATTACCTCAAAATTCCCATAAAAACATCCCAAAAATTCCCCATAAAAATCCAAAACATCCCATAAAAATCTCCAAAAAATTCCCAATAAATTAACCAAAAAATCCAAAAAATCCCCCAAAAATTCCCCAAAAAATCAAAAAAAAAATCCGAAAAAAATCCCCAAAAAAATCCCAAAAATTCCCTCAAAAATCCCAATAAAAATCCCAAAAAGTTCCCCATAAATTCCCCCCAAAAATTCCCAAAAATTCCCAATAAATCCCGGTGCTGACCTTGCTGTGGCCGTGCTGCAGGAGGCGCTGCAGCAGCTGCGGTTCCAGGCGCGATCGCAGCAGCTCCGGGGGCGCCGCCGCCGCCACGCGGCCGTAACAGAGCACGAGCGCCGCCCGCAGCTTCTCCTGCTCCGCCTCGCTGCGGTCCTGGGGGGAAATAATGGGGGAAAATGGGGGGAAAATGTGGGGAAAATATGGGGAAAATGGGGGGAAAAGGGTGGGGAAATATGGGGAAAATGGGGGGAGAAATATGGGGAAAATGGGGGGAAAAGGGTGGGAAAATATGGGGAAAATCGGGGAAAAAATATGGGGAAAATGGGGGGAAAAGGGTGGGAAAATATGGGGCAAATGGGGGGAAAAGGGTGGGAAAAATATGGGGGAAATGGGGGAGAAAGGTGGGAAAATATGGGGAAAATATGGGGCAAATGGGGGGAAAAGGGTGGGAAAACATGGGGGGAAAAGGGTGGGAAAATGGGGGGAAAAGGGTGGGAAAATATGGGGAAAATGGGGGGGAAAATGGGGGGGGAAATGGGGGGGGAATACGGGGAAAATCGGGGAAAAAGGGTGGGAAAATATGGGGAAAAATGGGGGGAAAATGGGTGGGAAAAACGTGGGGAAAATATGGGGGAAAATGGTGGGAAAATGGGGGGAAAAACGTGGGGAAAATGGGGGAGAAAACATGGGGAAAATGGGGGGAAAAGGTGGGAAAAGGGTGGGAAAATATGGGGAAAATGGGGGGGAAAATGGGGGCAAAATATGGGGGAAATATGGGGGAAATGGGGGAAAAAATATGGGGAAAATGGGGGGAAATATGGGGAAAATGGGGGGAAAAACATGGGGAAAATGGGGGGAAATGGGGGGAAAAATATGGGGGGAAAAGGGTGGGAAAAGGGTGGGGGGAAAAGGGTGGGGAAAATGGGGGAAAATGGGGGAGAAATATGGGGGAAATGGGGGGAAAAATATGGGGAAAATGGGGGGAAAAGGGTGGGAAAATATGGGGAAAATGGGGGGAAAAATGGGGGGAGAAATATGGAGAAAATCGGGAAAAAAGGGTGGGAAAATATGGGGAAAATGGGGGGGAAAATGGGGGGAAAAGGTGGGAAAATATGGGGGAAATGGGGGGAAATGGGAAAAACGTGGGGAAAATGGGAGAGAAAACATGGGGAAAATGGGGGGAAAAGGTGGGAAAAGGGTGGGAAAATATGGGGAAAATGGGGGGAAATGGGGGGAAAAATATGGGGAAAGTGGGGGGAAATGGGGGAGAAACATGGGGGAAAAGGGTGGGGAAAATATGGGGAAAAATATGGGGAAAATGGGGGGGAAATGGGGGAGAAAATATGGGGGAAAATGGGGGGAAAAGGGTGGGAAAAGGGTGGGGGGAAAAGGGTGGGGAAAATGGGGGAAAATGGGGGAGAAATATGGGGGAAATGGGGGGAAAATGGGGGGAAAAGGGTGGGGAAAACGTGAAAAATGGGGGGAAAAGGTGGGGAAAACATGGGGGGAAAGGGTGGGGGAAAACATGGGAAAAATGGGGGGAAAAGGTGGGGAAAATATGGGGAAAATGGGGGGGAAATATGGGGAAAATGGGGGGAAATGGTGGGAAAATGGGGGGAAAAGGGTGGGAAAATATGGGGGAAATGGGGGGAAATATGGGGAAAAAGGGTGGGAAAATATGGGAAAATGGAGGGAAATGGGGGGAAAAGGGTGGGGAAAATATGGGGGAAATGAGGGAAAAAACATGGGGAAAATGGGGGGAAATGGGTGGGAAAAATATGGGGAAAATGGGGGGAAAATGGGGAATTCCCATATGGGGAAAATGGGGGGACAATGGGGGGACAATGGGGGGGAAGTGGGAAAAAATTTTTCCCAATTTTCCCATTTTTTCCCCCTTTTTCCCCCTTTTTCCCCATTTTTTTCCAATTTTTCCCCATTTTCCCCCCGTTTCCCCCATTTTTCCTCTTTTCCCCATTTTTCCCTTTTTCCCATTTTCCCCATTTTTTCCCCATTGTTTCTCCATTTTTTCCAATTTTTCCCATTTTTTCCCTTTTTTTTCCCTTTTTTCCCCATTTTCCCCCATTTTTTCCCATTTTTCCCATTTCCCCCATTTTTTCCTTTTTTCCCCTTTTTCAAATTTTTCCCCATTTTTCCCATTTTCCCCCATTTTTTCCATGTTTCCCATTTTTTCCCCCATTTTTTCCCCAATTTTTTCCCCATTTTTGCCCCATTTTCCCCCTTTTTTCCATTTTTTTCCCCATTTTCCCCCATTTTCCCAATTTTTTCCCCATTGTTTCCCTTTTTCTCATTTTCCCCCATTTTCCCCATTTTTCTCCCATTTTCCCCATATTTTCCCATTTTTCCCATTTCCCCCCCAATTTTTCCCATTTTTTCCCTTTTGTCCCATTTTTTCCCCTTTTCTCTCCATTTTTCCCCATTTTTCCGATTTTTCCCCATTTCCCCCCATTTTTTCCCCCAATTTTTTCCCCATTTTTCCCCATTTTTTCCAATTTTCCCCCATTTTTTCACATTTTCTTCCCATTTATTCCCCATTTTTCCCCATTATTCCCCCATTTTCCCCCATTTTTCCCCCATTATTTTTCCCCATTTCCCCCCCATTATTCCCCCATTTTTCCCCCATTATTTCCCCCCATTTTCCCCCATTTCCCACCTTGAAGATGCTGAACAACCCCTGGGATTTCCTCAAGGCCTCGGATTTCCCAAATTCCTCCAATTTTTCCAAGGTTTCCTCCAGGTGGCTCCGGGCACAGATCCCAAAGCAGAACGAGAGGCCCTGAGGGAATTTTGGGAATCAAATCCTGCAGCAGAATTCCCAAATTTTTTTTCCCAGGATTTATTCCCACTCTTGGGTTGTGTCAAGGGAATGGGAAAATTCCAAGAATTCCCAAATTTTTGGCAGCAATTCCCGGCTGGGATGGAATTTCCAGGGAATTTTGCTGGAATTCCAGGAATTTCAGCCACAGGTGGTTGTGGTCAAGGAAAATGTTGGGAAAGATTTTTTTTCCCACTTTTTTTCCATCTTTTTTTCCACCTTTTTTTCTTCCATCTTTTTTCCATCTTTTTTTGCTTTATTCCATATTTTTCCATATTTTTTCCGTATTTTTTTCCGTATTTTTTCCCATTTTTCCTGGGTTTTTTCCTCCGTTTTCCACCTTTTTTTCCCCACCTTTTTTCCCCACCTTTTTTTCCATCTTTTTTCCATCTTTTTTTCCATTTTTTTTTCCATTTTTTCCAGGGTTTTTTCCTCCATTTTCCACCTTTTTTTCCCCACCTTTTTTCTAGATTTTTTTTTCCATCTTTTCTCCAGTTTTCCAGCTTTTTCCCAGCTGGAAAAAAAAGATGGGGAAAATGGAAATAAAAGATGGAAAAAATATGGGAAAAAGGTGGAAAAAAGATGGGAAAAATGTGGGAAAAAGGTGGAAAAAAAGATGGAAAAAATGTGGGGAAAAGTGGAAAAAAGATGGGAAAAAAGGGAAAAAAGGTGGGAAAAAAGATGGGGAAAAGCTGAAAAATCTGGGAAAAAAGATGGGAAATAAGGATGAAAAAAGATGGAAAAAAGATGGGGAAAAAAATGGGAAAAAGGATCAAAAAAAAGATGGGAAAAAGGTGGGAAAAAAAAACCTGGAAAAAAGCTGGAAAAGCCTCAGCTCCAAGAAGGAATTGATCCAAAAAAATCTGGAATTTTTTAGAAGATTTCCATGGTTTTAGCCAAGAATTCCAGGAAATTCCAGGATTTTAGAAAGATTTCCACAGAATTCCAGGATTTTAGCCAAGAATCCCAGGAAATTCCTGGATTTTAGAAAGATTTCCATGGTTTTAGCCAAGAATTCCAAGAAATTTCAGAAATTGAGGAAGATTTCTACAGAATTCCAGGATTTGAGCTGGAAATCCCAAGGAATTCCAGGAATTTCCCTTGGAATTCCAGGATTTTATCCACTATTCCCTCAGAATTCCAGGATTTTAGAAAAATTTCCTTGATTTTAGCCAAGAATCCCAGGAAATTTCAGGATTTAGGAAAATTTCCACACAATTCCAGGATTTTAGCCAAGAATGCGAGGAAATTCCAGGAATTTCAAAAGATTCCCACAGAATTCCTTGGATTTTAGCTGGAAATCCCAAGATAATTCCAAGATTTTAGAAAGATTTCCACAGAATTCCAGGATTTTTGCTGGGAATTCCAGGAAATTCCAGGATTTTAGGAAGATTTCCACAGAATTCCAGGATTTTAGCTGGAAATCCCAAGGAATTCCAGGACTTTAGGAAAATTTCCTTGATTTAAGCCAAGAATTCCAAGAAATTCCAGGAATTTAAAAAGATTTCAACTGAATTCCAATTTTTAGCAAATAATCCCAGGGAATTCCAGGAATTTAGAAAAATTTCCACAGAATTCCAGGATTTTAGCTGGGTATCCCAAGGCATTTCGAGGAATTTAGAAAGATTTCCATGATTTTAGCCAAGAATCCCAGAAAATTCCAGGATTTCAGAAAGATTTCCACACAATTCCAGGATTTTAGCCAAGAATCCCAGGAATTTCCAAGATTTATGGAAGATTTCCATGATTTTAGCCAGGAATCCCAAGAAATTCCATGATTTTAGGAAGATTTCCATGATTTTAGCCAATAATCCCACAGAATTCCAAGATTTTAGGAAGATTTCCACAGCATTCCAATTTTTAGCCAAGAATCCCGGGAAATTCCAGGAATTTAGGAAGATTTCCACAAAATTGCAGGATTTTAGCTGGGAATCCCAGGGAATTCCAGGAACTTCAAAAGATTTCCACACAATCCCAGGGATTTCAGCGGGGCCTCCATGGAATTCCAGGATTTTACCCACGATTCCCTCGGAATTCCCAGTTTTTATCCACGATTCCCTCGGAATTCCAGGATTTTAGCTGAGAATCCCAAGAAATGCCAGGATTTTAGGAAGATTTCCATGATTTTAGCTGAGAATCCCAGGAAAATTCCAGGAATTTTAGAAAGATTTTCCAGGATTTTCTCTGGGAGTCCCAGGAATTTAAGAAGATTTCCACACAATCCCAAGGATTTCAGCGGGGCCTCCACGGAATTCTAGGATTTTACCCACGATTCCCTCAGAATTCCAGGATTTTATCCCCGATTCCCTCAGAATTCCAAGTTTTTAATCCCCGATTCCCTCAGAATTCCAAGATTTTATCCCCGATTCCCTCAGAATTCCCCAGTTTTTTACCCACGATTCCCTCAGAATTCCAAGTTTTCACCCCCGATTCCCTCAGAATTCCACGTTTTTTACCCACAATTTCCCTCAGAATTCCACGGTTTTTATCCCTGATTCCCTCAGAATTCCAAGTTTTTTTACCCACAATTCCCTCAGAATTCCAGTTTTTTACCCCCGATTCCCTCAGAATTCCAAGTTTTTTATCCCCGATTCCCTCAGAATTCCCAGTTTTTATCCCCGATTCCCTCAGAATTCCAGGATTTTATCCCCGAATCCCTCAGAATTCCACGTTTTTTCATCCCCAATTCCCTCAGAATTCCAAGTTTTTACCCACGATTCCCTCAGAATTCCAGGATTTCATCCCGATTCCCTCAGAATTCCAAGTTTTCACCCACAATTCCCTCAGAATTCCAAGTTTTCACCCACAATTCCCTCAGAATTCCAGGATTTTATCCACGATTCCCTCAGAATTCCAAGGTTTTACCCACAATTCCCTCAGAATTCCAGGATTTTATCCCCGATTCCCTCAGAATTCCCAGTTTTTACCCCCAATTCCCTCAAAATTCCAAGTTTTTACCCCCGATTCCCTCGGAATTCCCGGATTTCCCCCCCAATCCCCCCCTCCCACTCCCACCCTTTCCCTCCCACCCCCTCCCCTCCCAATCCCATTCCCGACCCCTCGGATTCCCGGGAATTCCCTGGAGCGGGGCCTCCCCGCCCTTTCCCCAGCAGGGACATTCCCAGAATTCCCGGAATTCCCGGAATTCCCGAGGTTTTTCCATGGATTCCTGACCTCCCTGTCGGCCTCCTCCTGGCACCGGGCGTTTTCCAGCAGCTCCCGGAAGCTGATCCCGGATCAGGGCCCGGCTGGGGCACGGCCCCAGCGCCGCCCCCAGGCACCGGAACAGGAACAGCTGCCAGAAAACAACCGGAAAAGGTCGGGAAAAGGTCAGGAAAAGGTCGGGAAAAGGTCGGGAAAAGGTCGGGAATTGCAGCAGGGAAGGAGCTCGGGGTGGTGGGGAAAGGGAGAATTCCAGTTTTTCCCATTCCCGAATTTTCTCCATTCCCATTTTCCCCATTCCGGACACTTTCCCCATTCCCAAATTTTCCTCAATCCCACATTTCCCCATTCCCATTTTCCCATTCCCAGATTTCTCCATTCCCATTTTCCCCATTCCCAGATTTTTCCCCATTTCCTTTTTACCCCCATTCCCAATTTTCCCATTCTCCATTTCGCCATTCCCAGATTTTCCCAATCCCAAATTATTCCCCATTCCCATTTTCCCCATTCCGACATTTTCCCCATTCCCAAATTTTCCCGAATCCCAGATTTCCCCATTCCCACATTTCCCATTCCCAGATTTTTCCCCACTCCCATTTTCCCCATTCCCATTTTTTCTATTCCCATTTTTCCCCATTCCCAGATTTTCCCAATCCCAAATTATTCTCCATTCCCATTCCCCATTCCCCATTCCCATTCCCCTTTTTTTCCCCATTCCCACATTTTCCCATTCCCAGATTTCTCCCAATCCCAGATTTCCCCATTCCCATTTTCCCCATTCCGACACTTTCCCCATTCCCAAATTTTCCTGAATCCCACATTTTCCCCATTCCCACATTTCCATTCCCATTTTCCCCATTCTCAGATTTCCCCAAATCCCAGATTTTCCCATTCCCAGACTTTTCCCATTCCCCTTTTTTCCCCATTCCCATTTTCCCCATTCCCAAATTATTCCCCATTCCCATTTTCCCCATTCCAACACTTTCCCCATTCCCAAATTATTTCCGATTCCCACATTTTCCCATTCCCAGATATCTCCCATTCCAGATTTCCCCATTCCCATTTTCCCCATTCCGACACTTTCCCCATTCCCAATTTTCCTCAATCCCACATTTCCTCATTCCCATTTTCCCCATTCCCAGATTTCCCCATTCCCAAATTATTCCCCATTCCCATTTTCCCCATTCCCAGATTTTCCCAAATTATTCCCCATTCCCAGATTTTCCCATTCCCCATTTCCCCCTTCCCAAATTTTCCCAAATCTCAGATTTCCCCCTGCCCACATTTTCCCATTCCCATTTTTTCCCCATTCCCATTTTTCCCCATTCCCAGATTTTCCCAATCCCAAATTATTCCCCATTTCCATTTTCCCCATTCCGACACTTTCCCCATTCCCATTTTTTCCCATTCCCACATTTCCCCATTCCCAGATTTTTTCCCATCCCCATTTTCCCATTCCCAGATTTTCCCCATTCCCAGGCACTGGAATAGGAACAGCTGCGGGAAACAACCGGAAAACAACCGGAAAACAACGGGAAAAGGTCGGGAAAAGGTCGGGAAAAGGTCGGGAATTGCAGCAGGGAAGGAGCTCGGGATGGTGGGAAAAGGGAGAATTCCCCATTTTTTCCCCATTCCCAGTTTTCTCCGTTCCCATTTTTCCCCATTCCCAGATTTTCCCCATTCCCACACTTTCCCCATTCCCAGATTTCTCCCATTCCCAGATTTTCCCCGTTCCCATTTTTTTCCCCATTCCCATTTTCCCCATTCCCATTTTCTCCATTCCCACATTTCCCATTCCCACATTTCCCATTCCCAAATTATTCCCCATTCCCACATTTTCCCATTCCCAGATTTCTCCCAATCCCAGATTTCCCCATTCCCACATTTCCCATTCCTCCATTCCAAGATTTCCCCATTCCCTTTTTCCCATTCCCAGATTTTTCCCCACTCCCATTTTCCCCATTCCCCCATTCCCATTTTTTCCATCCCCATTTTTTCCCCATTCCCAGATTTTCCCAATCCCAAATTATTCCCCATTTCCATTTTCCCCATTCCGACACTTTCCCAATTCCCATTTTTTCCCAATTCCCACATTTCCCATTCCCAGATTTTCCCCATTCCCAGGCACCGGAACAGGAACAGCGGCAGAAAAACGGGAAAAGGTCGGGAAAAGGTCGGGAAAAGGTCAGGAAAAGGTTGGGAATTGCAGCAGGGAAGGAGCTTGGGATGGTGGGAAAGGGAGAATTCCCAGTTTTTGCCCATTCCCAGTTTTCCCCAATCCCGAATTATTCCCCATTCCCATTCCCCATTCCCGCATTCCCCATTTCCAGATTTTCCCCATTCCCACATTTCCCATTCCCATTTTTTCCCCATTCCCAGATTTCTCAATTCCCATTTTCCCCACTCCCATTTTTCCCCATTCCCATTTTTCCCCATTCCCATTTTCCCCATTCCCAGATTTCCACATTCCTATTTTCCCCCATTTCCCATTTTTCCCGCATTTCCCAGTTTCCCCATTCCCCCATTCCCATTTTTTCAATTCCCATTTTCCCCATTTCCCCATTCCCTCATTCCCTCTTTCCCATTCCCATTTTTCCCCATTCCCATTTTCCCCACTCCCATTTTTCCCCATTCCCCCATTCCCATTTTTTCCATCCCCATTTTTCCCCATTCCTGAATTTCTCCATTCCCAGATTTCCCCATTCCCATTTTTTCCCCAATCCCAGATTTTCCCCAATCCCATTCCCATTCCCCATTCCCATTCCCATTTCCCATTCCCCATTTCCCATTCCCCATTCCCATTCCCCATTCCCATTCCCCATTCCCATTTTTCCCCATTCCCATTTTTCCCCATTCCCAGATTTCCCCATTCCCATTTTCCCCATTCCCAGATTTCCCCATTCCCATTTTTCCCCATTCCCACATTCCCCCATTCCCAATTATTCCCCATTCCCCATTTTCCCCATTCCTGCATTCCCATTTTTTCAATTCCCATTTTCCCCATTCCCAAATCTTCCCATTCCCACATTTTTCCCCATTCCCAAATAATTCCCCATTCCCATTTCCCCATTCCCAGATTTTCCCCATTCCCATTCCCCATTCCCATTTTTCCATTCCCAGATTTTCCCATTCCAGATTTCCACATTCCCATTTTTCCCCCGTTTCCCATTTTCCCCATTCCCAGTTTTTCCCATTCCCATTCCCATTCCCCCATTCCCATTCCCATTTTTCCCCATTATTCCCACATTTCCCATTCTTCCCACATTTCCCATCATTCCCACATTTCCCATTTTTCCCATTTTTCCCCCATTCCCCATCCCCATTCCCATTCCCCATTCCCCATTCCCATTTTCCCCATTCCCATCCCCATTCCCAAATCCCAATCCCCCATTCCAAATCCCAATCCCCCATTCCCATTCCCATTATCCCCATTCCCATTATCCCCATTCCCATTCCCTTTTTTCCCCATTCCCACATATTCCCATTCCCCATTCCCATTCCCCATTCCCATTCCCCATTCCCCGTTCGCCATTCCCATTCCCCATTCCCATTTTTCCCCATTCCCCATTCCCATTCCCCATTCCCCATTCCCATTTTTCCCCATTCCCCATTCCCCATTCCCATTCCCCCATTCCCATTTTTTCCCCATTCCCACATTTTCCCATTCCCAATTTTCCGCATTCCCAGATTTCCCCATTCCCATTTTCCCCATTCCGACACCTTTCCCCATTCCCATTTTTCCCCATTCCCACATTTTCCCATTCCCATTTTCCCCATTCCTGCATTCCCATTTTTTCAATTCCCAGATTTCCCCATTACCATTCCCCATTCCCATTTTTCCATCCCAGATTTTCCCATTCCAGATTTCCACATTCCCATTTTTCCCCCGTTTCCCATTTTCCCCCATTCCCAGTTTTTCCCATTCCCCATTCCCCATTCCCATTCCCATTCCCATTTTCCCCATTCCCATCCCCATTCCATTCCCCATCCCCATTCCCCATTCCCATTCCCCATTCCCATTTCCCATTATCCCCATTCCCATTCCCCATTCCCATTCCCCTTTTTTCCCCATTCCCACATTTTCCCATTCCCATTCCCCATTTTTCCCCATTCCCCATTCCCCATTCCCATTCCCCATTCCATTTTTCCCCATTCCCACATTTTCCCATTCCCAATTTTCCCCATTCCCAGATTTCCCCCATTCCCATTTTCCCCATTCTGACACTTTCCCCATTCCCATTTTTCCCCATTCCCAAATAATTCCCCATTCCCATTTCCCCATTCCCACATTTCGCATTCCCATTTTCCCCATTATCAGATTTCCCCGAATCCCAGATTTCCCCATTATTCCCAGATTTCCCGTTATTCCCATTTTCCCCTCACCTTTTCCTGGGATCCGTCGGGAGCTCGGAGCTGCCGGGAGGTCTCGGTCACCAGGGCACAAATCCAGGATTTCTCTGTGATGGATTCCAGGGATTCCTGCAGGAACTGCGACAGGGAATGGGAATCATGGGAATTCTGGGAATTCCAGCTGGGAATCCCAAATCCCGTGGAAAAAATCCCCTTGGAATTCTGGTTCTCCATTCCCAAAATCCCTTTGGAATTTTCATTTCCCATCCCAAAATTCCCTTTAGGAATTCTGGTTTTCCACCTCGAAATTCTTTGGAATTCTGATTTCCCATCCCAAATTTCCATGGAAAATCCCTCTGGAATTCTCATTTCCCATCCTAAATTCCTATGGAAAAAACCTTTGGAATTCTGGTTTCCCATTCCCAAAATCCCTTTGGAATTTTCATTTCCCATCCCAAAATTCCCTTTAGGAATTCTGGTTTTCCACCCTCGAAATTCTTTGGAATTCTGATTTCCCACCCTAAATTCCTATGGAAAATCCCTTTGGAATTCTGGTTTCCCATCCCAAAATTCCTTTGGAATTCTGGTTTTCCATCCCAAATTTCCACATGGAAAATCCCTTTGGAATTCTGGTTTCCCATCCCAATTTCCCATGGAATATAAAACCTTGGAATTCTGGTTTTCCACCCCAAATTTATCTGGAAAATCCCTTTGGAATTCCCATTTCCCACCCCAAAATCCCTTTGGAATTCTCATTTTTCCATCCCAAATTCCATGGAATTCCAAGGACCCTTTGGAATTCTGGTTTTCCATCCTGAAATCCCTTTGGAATTCTGCTTTTCCATCCCAAATTCCCTCTGGAATTCTGCTTTTCCCATCCCCAGATTCCCATGGAATTCTAAGGACCCTTTGGAATGCCAAATTCCCATCCCAAATTCCCATGGAAAAACCCTCTGGAATTCTGATTTCCCACCCTGAAACCCCTTTGGAATTCTGGTTTCCCATCCCAAATTCCCATGGAAAAAATCCTTTGGAATTCTGGGTTTTCCATCCCAAAATTCCTTTTGAATTCTCATTTCCCATCCCAAATTTCCACATGGAAAATCCCTCTGAATTCTCATTTCCCATCCCAAATTCCCATGGAATAAACCCTTTGGAATTCTGCTTTTCCACCGTGAAATCCCTTTGGAATTCTGGTTTCCCATCCCAAATTTCCCATGGAATAAAACCTTTGGAATTCTGGTTTCCCATCCCAAAATCCCTTTGGAATGCCAAAGTCCCATCCCAAATTCCTGTGGAAAAAAATCCCTCTGGAATTCTCATTTCCCATCCCAAAATTCCTTTTGGAATGCCAGATTCCCATCCCATATTTCCCATGGGAAAATCCCTTTGGAATTCTGGTTTTCCATTCAAAATTCCTTTTGGAATTCCGGTTTTCCACCTCAAAATTCTTTGGAATTCTCATTTCCCATCCCAAATTCCCATGGAAATTCCCTTTGAATGGAATGAGAATTCCAAAGGGATTTTCCAGATAAATTTGGGATGAGAAACCAGAATTCAAAGGGAAATTGGGATGGGAAATGAGAATTCCAAAGGGTCCTAGGAATTCCATGGGAACGCGGGGATGGAAAAAGCAGAATTCCAAAGAAATTCCATGGAAAATCCCTTTGGAATTCTGGTTTTCCATCTCAAAATTCTTTGGAATTCTGCTTTTCCCATCCCAAATTCCCTTTGGAATTCTGGTTTCCATCCCAAATTTCCACATGGAAATTCCCTTTGGAATTCTCATTTCCCACCCCAAAATCCTTTGGAATTCTCATTTTCCATCCCAAATTCCCATGGAATTCCAAGGACCCCTTTGGAATTCTGGTTTTCCATCCCGAAATCCCTTTGGAATTCTGTTTTTCCATCCCAAAATTCCACATGGAAAATCCCTTTGGAATTCTGGTTTCCCATCCCAATTTCCCATGGAATATAAAACCTTTGGAATTCTGGTTTTCCACCCCAAATTTATCTGGAAAATCCCTCTGGAATTCTCATTTCCCAACCCAAAATCCCTTTGGAATTCTCATTTTCCATCCAAATTCCCATGGAATTCCAAGGACCCTTTGGAATTCTGGTTTTCCATCCCGAAATCCCTTTGGAATTCTGCTTTTCCCATCCCAAAATTCCCACATGGAAAAACCCTCTGGAATTCTCGTTTCCCATTCCCAAAATTCCCTTTGGAAAAAAAACCTTTGGAATTCCGGTTTTCCGCCCCAAATTTATCTGGAAAATCCCTCTGGAATTCTCATTTCCCAACCCAAAATCCCTTTGGAATTCTGGTTTCCCATCCCAAATTCCCATGGAATTCCAAGGACCCTTTGGAATCCCAAATTCCCATCCCAAATTCCCATGGAAAAATTCCTTTGGAATTCTCATTTCCCATCCCAAAATTCCTTTGGAATTCTGCTTTTCCATCCCCGGATTCCCATGGAATTCTAAGGACGCTTTGGAATTCTGGGTTTTCCATCCCAAAAATTCCTTTGGAATTCTCATCTCCCATCCCAAAATCCCTTTGGAATTCTGGATTCCCACCTTGAAATTCTTTTGGAATTCTATCCCAAAATCCATGGAATAAAACCCTTTGGAATTCTGCTATTCCCATCCCAAATTCCTCTGGAATTCCAAGGACCTTTTGGAATGCCAAATTCCCATCCCAAATTCCCATGGAAAATTCCTCTGGAATTCTCATTTTCCATCTCAATTTCCCATGGAAAAAACCCTTTGGAATTCTGGTTTTCCATCCCAAAATCCCTTTGGAATTCCGGTTTCCCATCCCAAATTCCCATGGAAAAAACCTTTGGAATTCTGGCTTCCCATCCCAAATTCCCACATGGAAAATCCCTTTGGAATTCTCATTTCCCATCCCAATTCCCTTTGGAATTCCAAGACCCTTCTGGAATCCCAGATTTCCCCAATCCCAGGGAAATTCCCAGAATTCCCGGAATTCCCGGGATCCTCACCTGGAGCAGCCTCTCCTCCCATTGCTCCTGTCCAGGGAATTCTCGGAATTCTCTGCGGGAAAAAAAAATGGGAATTTTGGGAATTCCGAGGGCTCTGGGAATGTGGGAATGTGGGGGAGGATTCCCAACAATCCCATGGATCCCACAAATCCCATAATTCCCATTCCATTATCCCATTCTCCCATGGATTTCATCCCATAATCCCATCAATCCCATAATCCCAAAATTCCATAATCCCATCAATCCCATAATCCCAAAATCCCAAAATTCCATTATCCCATTTTCCCAATGGATCCCATCCCATAATCCCCAAATCCCAAAATCCCTTCAATCCCTTTATCCCATTATCCCATAGATCCCATAAATCCCCAAAATCCCATAATCCCATTATCCCCATAAATCCCCAAAATCCCATAATCCCATTATCCCATCAATCCCATGAATCCCAAAAATCCCAAAAAAAAAAAATTTCCCATGGATCCCATCCCATAAATCCCATAAATCCTACAAATTCCAAAAATCCCATAATCCCATTATCCCATCAATCCCTTTATCCCAAAATCCCATAATCCCATTTTCCAAATGATCCCATCCCATAAATCCCATAAATCCCATAAATCCCATGATTCCCAAAAATCCCAAATATCCCATTCCATTATCCCATTTTCCCATGGATCCCATCGATCCCATAATTCCATTTTCCCATGGATCACATAAACCCCATATTCCCATTATCCATCAATCCCATCAATCCCATTATCCCATCAATCCCATGAATCCCAAAAAACCCATTTTTCCCATGGATCTCATCCCATAAATCCCCAGAAATCCTAGAAATTCCAAAAATTCCAAAATCCCATAATCCCATCAATCCCATTTTCCCAAGGGATTTTACCCCATAAATCCCATAATCCCATAACCCCATAATCCCATTTTCCCAACTGATCTCATCCTATAAATCCCAAAAATCCCCAAAATCTCCAAAAACCCCATTTTCCCAGGATCCCATTATCCCATCAATCCCATCATCCCATTTTCCCATGGATCCCATCCCAAAATCCCATCAATCCTATAATCCCAAAATCCCATTTTCCCAATGCATCCCATAAATCCCATAATCCCATAAATCCCATTATCCCATAATCCCAACAATCCCACAATCCCATCAATCCCAAAATCCCATTTTCCCATGGATCCCATAATCCCATCAATCCCCATAATCCCATTTTCCCATGGATCCCATCCCAAAATCCCATAATCCCATAAATCCCATAATCCCATTTTCCCATGGATCCATTATCCCATAATCCCATCACTGCCATTATCCCATTATCCCAATGGATCCCATCCCATCAATCCCATCAATCCCAAAATCCCATCAATCCCAACATCCCATCCATCCCATAATCCCATTTTCCCATGGATCCCATCCCATAAATCCCATAATCCCATCACTCCCATCAATCCCATTATCCCAATGGATCCCATTATCCCAAAATCCCATCAATCCCATAATCCCAAAATCCATTTTCCCATGGATCCCATTATCCCAATGGATCTCATCCCATAAATCCCATAAATCCCTTAAATCCCCCAAAACCAATTATCCCATGGATCCCATCCCATCAATCCCATCAATCCCATAAATCCCATTTTCCCATGGATCCCATCCCATTATCCCATCAATCCCATTATCCCAAAATCCCATTATCCCCTTTTCTCATGGTTCCCATAAATCCCAAAAAAATCCCCAAAAAACCCCATTTTCCCATGGATCCCATCATCCCATCAATCCTATAAATCCCATCAATCCCATAAATCCATAATCCCATAAATTCCATAATCCCCACAAATTCCATAATCCCATAAATCCCATTTTGAGGGGGTTATTTGGGGATTTTTTGGGGTCATTTGAAGATTTTTTGGGATTTTGGGGGGAGTTTTTTGGGATTTTTTTGGGGGATTTTTTTGGGTTATTTCGGGATTTTGGGGGAGTTTTTTGGGGGGAAGTTTTTTGGGATTTCTTTGGGGATTCTTTTTGGGTTATTTGGGGATTTTTGGTGATTTTGGGGGGATTTTTTTGGGATTTTTTGGGGTTATTTGGGCATTTTGGGGGGATTTTTTTGGGATTATTTGGGGTTATTTGGGCATTTTGGGGGGATTTTTTTGGGATTATTTGGGGGATTTTTTCTATTTTAGGGGAACTTTTTGGGGGATTTTGGGGGGATTATTTGAGGGATTTTTGGGGATTTTTGGAGATTTTTTTGGGGATATTTTGGAGGGTTTTTTTCTATTTTGGGGAAACTTTTTTGGGATTTTTTAATGATTTTTGAGGAATTTTTTTGGGATTTTTAAAAAATTATTTGGGGATTATTTGGGGATTATTTTGGGGGATTTTTTTCTATTTTGGGGGGACTTTTTTGGGGATTTTTGGGGGATTTTTTGAGGGATTTTTAAAAATTATTGGGGGATTATTTGGGGATTTTTAGGGGATATTTGGGGATTTTTTGGAGATTTTTTTGGGGATTATTTGGGGATTTTTTTCTATTTTGGGGGAACTTTTTTGGGGATTTTTTGAGGGATTTTTTGAGGGATTTTTTTGGGATTTTTAAAAATTATTTGGGAATTATTTGGGGATTATTTTGGGGGATTTTTTTCTATTTTGGGGGGACTTTTTTGGGGATTTTTGGGGGATTTTTTGAGGGATTTTTAAAAATTATTGGGGGATTATTTGGGGATTTTTAGGGCAATATTTGGGGATTTTTTTGGAGATTTTTTTGGGGATTATTTCGAGGGATTTTTTTTTTCTATTTTGGGGAAACTTTTGGGGGATTTTTGGGGGGATTTTTTTAGGGATTTTTGGGAATTTTTTGGGGTTTTTTTGGGGATTTTTTTTTTATTCTCTGAGGGATTTTTGGGAGATGTTTTGGGAATTTGGAGGGGGATATTTTGGCTTTTCTTTGGGATTTTTTTTGGGGGATTTTTTTGGGGATTTTTGGGGGGGTTTTGTAACTTTTTGGAGATCTTTTAGGGGATTATTCGGGGGGGATCTTTTCTATTTCGGGGAAACTTTTTTGGGGATTTTTGGGGGATTTTTTGAGGGATTTTTGGGGATTTTGGAGGGAATTTTTGGGGATTTTTAAAAATTATTCGGGGATTATTTGGGGATTTTTAGGGGGATATTTGGGGATTTTTTGGAGATTTTTTGGGGATTATTTGGGGGATTTTTTCTATTTTGGGGGGACTTTTTTGGGGATTTTTGACGGATTTTTTGGGGTATTTTTAGGGGGATCTTTAGGGGGATATTTGGGGACTTTTTGGAGATTTTTTTGAGGGTTATTTTAGGGGATTTTTTCTATTTTGGGGGAACTTTTGGGGGGATTTTTGAGGGATTTCTTGAGGGATTTTTGGGGGATTTTAAAATTTATTAGGGGATTATTTGGGGGTTTTTGGGGGATTATTTTGGGGGATTTTTTCTATTTTGGGGGAACTTTTTTGGGGATTTTTGAGGGATTTTTTGGGGACTTTTTTTTTCTTTTCCAACAGATTTTCTGAGAGTTGTTTATTTAATTTTTTTCCAGTATTTTTGGGGGATTTTTTGGGGACTTTTTAAATTTTCCAATGGATTTTCTGAGAGTTGTTTTTTTAAATTTTTTTCAGTATTTCTGGGGATTTTTCGGGATTTTTTGGGGATTTTTTTTATTTTTCCAATGGATTTTCTGAGAGCTTTTTTAATTTTTTTCCAGTATTTTTGGGGATTTTTTGGGGACTTTTTTTTTAATTTTCCAAAGGATTTTCTGAGAGTTCTTTTTTAATTCTTTTTCAGTATTTTTGGGAGATTTTTGGGGATTTTTTGGGGGACTTTTTAAATTTTCCAATGCATTTTCTGAGGTTTTTTTAAATTTTTTTCAGTATTTTTGGGGATTTTTTTGGGGATTTTTTGGGGATTTTTTTTAATTTTCCAATGGATTTTCTGAGAGCTTTTTTTAAATTTTTTTCGGGATTTTTGGGGATTTTTTGGGGACTTTTTTTTAATTTTTCCAAAGGATTTTCTGAGAGTTCTTTTTTTAATTCTTTTTCAGTATTTTTGGGAGATTTTTGCAGATTTTTTGGGGGACTTTTTAAATTTTCCAAAAGATTTTCTGAGAGGTTTTTTTTTTCATTTTTTTCAGAATTTTTTTGGGGATTTTTTGGGATTTTTTGGGGGATTTTTTTGAATTTTCCAATGGATTTTCTGAGAGTTGTTTTTTTTTAATTTTTTTTCAGTATTTCTGGGGATTTTTTCGGGATTTTTTGGGGATTTTTTTTAATTTTCCAATAGATTTTCTGAGAGCTTTTTTTTAATTTTTTCAGTATTTTTGGGGGATTTTTGGGGATTTTTTGGGGACTCTTTTTAATTTTCCAAAGGATTTTCTGAGAGCTTTTTTTTAATTTTTTTTCAGTATTTTTTGGGGATTTTTTTGGGGACTTTTTAAATTTTCCAATGGCTTTTCTGAGACCCTTTTTTTAAATTTTTTATCAATATTTTTGGGACTTTTTTGAATTTTTTTCCAGTATTTTTGGGACTTTTTTTGGAATTTTTTTTTCAGGATTGGGGATTTTTGGGGGATTATTTGGGGATTTTTTGGGGAATATTTGGGGGTTTTGGGGAGATTTTTGGGGATTTTTGGGGGGATTACTTGGGGATTTTTTTGGGATTATTTGGGGATTTTTGGGGGATTATTTGGGGATTTTTGGGGGGATTATTTAGGGATTTTTGGGGGGATTATTTGGGGATTTTTTGGGGGATTATTTGGGGATTTTTGGGGGGATTTTTTTTTTATTTTGGAGGGACTTTTTTGGGGGATTTGGGGGGATTTTTTAGAGAGATTTTTGGGGGATTATTTGGGGATTTTTCTGGAGATTTTTTTGGGATTTTTTTTTATTTTGGGGGGACTTTTTGGGGGATTTTTTTCCAGGGATTTTGAGGGATTTTTTGGAAGTTTTTGGGGATTTTTTGAGGACTTTTCTTTAATTCTCCAATGGATTTTCTGAGAGTTTTTTTTTTTTTTGGAAGTTTTTATTTTTCAGTATTTTTGGGACTTTTTTTGGAATTTTTTTTCAGGAATTTTTGGGGTTTTTTTTTTTGCTCTTTTTTCCATTTGTTTTTCTTTGCCCACCTTGCAGGAGCTGCAGCAGCTTTTGGGATCTCCTGGGCCCAGAATTTCTCCAGCTCGGGGTGGAGCCGCAAGCTCCCGCAGCAAACGCAGAGCGGGGAAAGCGCGGCCACCACAGAGCCAGGGCTGAGAGGAGATGGCCTGGAAATGGGGGAAAAATGGGGAAAAATGGGGAAAAAATGGGAAATTTGGGAAAAATGGGGGGAAAATGGGAATGAAAATGGGGGGAAATGGGAATGAAAATAGGGGGAAATGGGGGGAAATGGGGAAAAATGGGGAAAAATGGGGGAAAAATGGGGAAAAATGGGAATTAAAAATGGGGAAATTTGGGCAAAAAGGGAATGAAAAATGGGGGAAAATGGGGAAAAATGGGGAAAATGGGAATAAAAATGGGGGAAAT